TGCTGGTGCCCTCGCGAAAAACAATTCAAGCAGAGTTGCTTTCTTCGGATGAAGTCTGTCCGCTCATTGACATTCATGTCTAGGAAAAACGGACATATACGGATAGGGTGGTCTTCTCTGGAACATAGATTACACCTTCTCGGTGTTGGAGCCACCCCTAGCTTCGTACGAATTGAGCCTGCGCACCGGTGGATTGGCATTTGCTGACCTTGGCGGAAAATGCCCAGAGCCGCTAGGCCTGACGTCGTCGATGGCCTTCAAAGTGCGATGGCGCTCGGTCAGAAACGCGTTCAACTCACGCCAGGTTGGAATTTCGGCCTTATTGTGAATTGATTGCTCCCACAAGGAAAGCGTAATCTTGGGAAGCTTCGAGGAGACCATATACACAAGAAGGCAGTCCCACGCCTCGACTTCAATGGAGGACATTTGTAACGCGGTCAAACAACCTTGAATTGTGCCTTGGAGCTCTTTTAGAGCGACTCCGGATTCTTGAGGAACAGCCTGGATGTTAAAAAGAATCTTCAACTGACTGTTGACTAACAATCGCTTATTTTCAAAGCGGTCGGAAAGGCTTCTCCATGCTGAGACGAAACCCTCGTTGGTCAGAGGGGCCTTTGAAACGATGGCATGAGCATCGCCGCTTGTCTTCGAAAGTAGGTGGAATAACTTTTCCACCGGTGTGAGACGCGAATTCTGGATATAGATCGCCGTAAAAAAGGTCTCGGAACGTTGGCCACCGAATATAGTCCCCAGTGAAGACTTCTGTGTCCACTGGTGGCAGACGACAACCCGTAGAAGGGGGTGGTTGACTACTGGAGGAAGCCTGTGTGGGTTGGAAGGCGGCCCTGTCAATTACGCCCTGCAGCTGAAACACACACTTCGAAAACACAGAATAGCAGTAACTATACTTTGATTCTAGCTCTGATGCAATGTTCGTAGTGTCGTCGGATTCGGCAATGAGGTCGGAGCAGCTTTCGTAGCTTTTCTCCACCTTTTCCCACAGGGCCCGAATTTGGTCCCGGTGGACTTGGCACATGCCAGGGGACAATTTGTCCGTGTCAGGGGCAGCCGGAGTGTGCAGGTTAGCCTCGAAATGGCTAACCCGGTCTGTTGTGGCAATAAATTTCTTAAGGGCAATATCTATCGCCTTTTGAGCCATCTTGGTCACGGATCGCTTAATTTTTGGCGCTGGACCGGGGCAAAGATTCACAGAATTGTCGCTTTTTGCCCTTGGGATGGCAATGGCTGCCTTCGACCTTAGAGGAGTTGAGCGCGGAGACGGGCGCGGAGATGCGGATCGGGATCTCTCCAAACGGATTGACGGGAGCACACGTAGCTTCTTGTCGTCACCTGTGGGCATTCTCGGACTCACAGATGGTCACATTAATGCGCTCGGCACAATCTGGGTCGCTAACAACGTTACTTGTCGCCCAAGAAATACACACGAATTGCGAAGGAAAGACGACTCAACTCTGGTTCGCGTAACGCCAGTGGACACAGCACCAGCGACAAAGAAATGTCAGCGGCAAGCGAAGAGAAACCAGGAGCAAATCCTCAGCGGAGAAGTTCGGCCACGAAACACAAATGATGGATGGGAAGCGATTGCAGCGATTGCTGCTGCTGGCCGAATTAGTGCTGAATGTCGGACCCGGGCTCTGGATATTAGGAGCCAATTGTATATTTTTATATGTATATTCCGTCGTTCGGACGTGGAGCTTGTATGTATGAATTGGAAACTTTCTTTATTAATTATATTCCGTAATAAAGAGGAAAAAAAAAAATTAATTTTTAGTGTCGGAAATAATGGACAAGAAGTATTTAATTATCGACACGTAATTACCACGTTTCGCGCCGAGCAGGCTGAATTAAAAAAATAACCCTTGGCGATGACGTGGAAACCTCACTGTATTATGCCGTCGGCAAAGCAGTGCGCAAGCGAGGCGCTTACGAGAGATAAAGGCACAGAAAACCGAAACAACAACAACACCAGCGCGGCTGATGCGGCGGTCAGCGCGGGAATCCGAAACTAACCGTAAATTGCAGTTTGGTTTTGCCGTCGGCAAAACACCGTATAAGCGAAGAGTTCAGGAGCGAGAACAAGGCGGAACACAAAAACACAACAACAACACGTCTGCTGCGGCGGTTGTGCGGATCTTGGAGAAATAAACACTTGCACTTGAGTTTCTTATTTCGTTTATTTTCGTTTGTTGGTTTTATTGTAATTTAGTTCCTGTATGGGCGGGCAGAAAAATATAATGACATATGTATGGAGTTGGATACGCCTGCAAAAATATATGTATGGTTATTTGCACAGTGGAACTGCAGCGACGTACAAAAAATATATATTTGAGGCAGAAAATATTTACATATGGGCAAGCAGAACGGGTTTGTGTGGGGGGTATGTGTTAGATGTTTCGCCTTATGGTACAGTGGGAACACGAAGAGTGGACTGTATTTTGGAATTTGGCATATAAATCTGTGAAGGCCTGTGAACCTTGCGTGGAGAAAAAAAACAAATGGCACACACCAAAAATATATATGTTGACACCGGCGTATATTAATTGAGCCCTTTTGTTTTATTTATTTAATTTGAGTTATTTAGTTCACCACACAATTTCACTGTATTTCGGCGGAGACGGACTTGCACGGAAAATGTACGTGCATAAGTTATCACACGTATGTAGGTATGTATGTTGATGTACATATGCCTTGACCGTTGGCGAGTGGAGCGGAGAAGCGAAAGAACAAAAAAACGGCAGGCAATATGGCGATCGCACAAAACGGAGACGGATTGAAAAAACTGGGCGATGGAATTAGGGAGAAATGGATTTTTCCTTCAAACTGCCGTTGTGTCGGAAAACTCGGATCGGGAGTTGACACAAAAATCGTACGTAGGTTGACCGAAATTTAAATTTCGGACAACTATTAACGACCGGCACTTAGAGACGGGAGGACACTTTTTTACTTATCTTTCCTGCGGCGGCACCACCAAAGCTGCTGGGAGAAAAGGATTCCAGGACGATATCCTTATCCGGCTCGAAGGACCATGTTTAGGAGTGGGGTGGCTGGTAAATCCTCCGCAAAAGTATTAGTAGAAAAATCCGTCCCACGAAGAAGAAACGCAGAAAAAAGGTCCAGAAATTCGGGGATCGAAAAATGACGTTGGCATGGAGCACCCTTTGCATGCATTTATTGACATTCGTAATCGAACTAAACTTAGCTTAGCCCTAAGGGCCCGCTGCCGGCCGAGAAGCCCCGCTTAACAGCGCGAGAGCGGGAGAACCGTGAATTGAAGCGGCTCGTCTAGAAGCGAGCGACGATCGGGAGCACGGGAGCGTGCGCTCGGGAATACCGAGGAGCGGAGAGCGGGCGAGCGTTGCTACGCTGGAAGCGCAGGGGGAGCAGGGGCCTCCTGGCGTAAACACCGGGTGTGTGTGTTTTTTTTGTATTCAGTATAATTTATTTATTATTTACAACTATAAATAACACTTACAACTATAGTATATAGTGTGCAATTTTATCTCATCCTCTCTCGCGGACGAAACCGTGGCCCTCACTGTGCGGTACGGCCGCAAAGCATTGCTTTGCACAGTGGCAGGCCGCTTAGCTCATCCGCTCGTTCCTGCCCCCTCTCCAGGAGCCTGAGTGACTTTATCACCTTTGCCGCGAATTCCGCCGTCGCACAGTAGCGCCTTTTCTCATTTTACGTTGAAAAAATCATAACTTTTGAACAAAATAAGATAACTAAATAATTTAAACGCCATTTGATAGGTAATTGTTGTAAAATTCACATATGTATTGGAAAATCTGCCACGCCCACTCATTCGCCTTTTTAAAGGGTATCAAAGTAAAGAAATATTTTTTTCTCAATGAAGACAATTTTTTAAAAATATTTTTTATTTAATTTTTTATCTTTATTTTTATGTATTTTCTCAGATAAAAATAGTTTGAAAACTGAAAATTTTTGTTTTTTATTTCAACGTGTAACCGCCACGCGCTACAGTTAGTATATTTTTTGGTTAGTATGAAGCTGAGTCGGTATTTTGGTATATTTAACCCTGAGTAGTTTTGGTTTATGCTGTTGCATTTCCGGGGACGCAGCAGATGTAAGTTGATTTTGGTCCAGAATAGATCCACAAAGGTCGTAGTTATAGTGTGTATAGTGGCTCAGCCCATCCAAAAAAGATATAGACTACTTTAGCCAGAAAAAAGTGAAAAAAATGGACACCTGGCAGGTAGCGATTTACCTGTGCAAGCCCTAACCCAATTCCCCTTTTTTTGGATTGGGTTACAGTTTATGAATGTGTCTATTATTTAAAGCAAAAATCATGGCGATAGGTAATATAGTTTTTGTGTAATATTACCTGAAAGTCAAAAAATGTTTCCCTTTTTTTTTCTTATGATGCAGAAATGGAAACAAAGTTCAACTTTGAATGCTCATATCTTCTACAAAAAAAAACGAAAATTGATTTTACAGCAGATTCTGAATCCATGGGAAATTTCATGTCGAATAAGTATGGTTAAAATCGTTTTTGCGACAACGACTTTTTCGATTTTTCCAACGGCTTTTGTTCGAGAGGCGCTACTGTGCGTCGCTTCCCACGTCCTTGGGCTCTCCAGCATTAGCGGCACCAGCGTGCCTACACTGATCTCCGTTCCTGCTACCGCCTCCATCGCTGCCCTTTCTTCGGCGAACCGGCGGCACTCGAAGACGACGTGGCGCGCATCTTCTTGTACGCCGGATCCGCACTCCGGACAGCCGTCCTCGTTCTCGTGGCCGAACCTTTTTAGGTAGCTACGGAAGCAGCCATGCCCGCTCAGCACCTGGGTCAGGTAGAAATCCACCTGCCCGTGCTTCCTCTCCATCCATCCCCTCAATGTTTGGGATCAAGCTGTACGTCCATCTCCCTTTGGACGAGGCATCCTTTCTGGCTTGCCAGCTCTCGTAGCTCTTTCCTCTAGCCGCTATCTTGGCCTCGGACTTCGCGGCGCGATCTGGCCTATGGTGCCCACGGAGTGTTGCGCAGCTCAGCCTCCTCGCGGACCAACTCCCTCAGAGGGACCAATCCCGCTATCACTAGCGCGGCGTCGTCCGAGACCGTCCTGAATGCGCTTGCCACTCGGACAGCGTATAGTCTGTATGTAGACTCCGCACCCCGCATGTAGGACTTGGTCTCGGCGGCTGCAGCCCTCACCGGTGCCGCGAACAGCATCTGTGAGGTCACGACGCTAGTCAGCAGCTTCCTGGTGATCTGCTTGGGTCCTCTGGTGTTAAGGAGTATCCGCGAGAGGCTTCCTGCCGTCCTGCTGGCTTTCTTCTGGGCGGACTCCAAGTGCTCCTTAAACAATAGCCGGGTATCGATCAGAACGCCGAGGTATTTGATTGCCCTCTGCGATCTAATCACGGCTCCGCCTACTAGGATCTCAGCAGTTTCCACGATCTTCCGGCTCGAGATCAGGACTGCCTCCATCTTGTGTGCCGCTAGCTCCAGGCCAGAAGGGATTCCTAATCTGGGTGTGGGCAGAGAAGTAGATATACTCCAGTCGCAGGGAGGAGGGAGGCTGGACGACAGCAAACATGTGCGAGTGGAAGTTCCGAAACGCAATATTTGTTGCGTCAGCGGGACAGAGAACAAGGGAACCTGAAAACGGGGCCAAAATACGACTACGGGCGGATTTGGTTGTTATTTTTATTGTTGGGTTTGACTATGTGTAAGTCCTACTACTGCCTTACAGAAAGCCTGCAACTTACGGTTCTAGCCCACGTGTCGAAGGGCGTGAAGCTGCGGATCGCGTTTTGCTTCCAAGAATCGGCGCGTGGCTTCGGGGTCTCTTGCGGCTGGTTCGCGGTTTGAAGGATCGACGCGGTCGTTGGCGCGGATGCGTTGGAAACAAAGACTTGTTCGCGGAGCGCGGCGATGGGCACGTCTGACCCGGTTGAAAGTTACCAGCGGAAGAGCGCGGCGATTGTCACGTCTGACCCAGACGAAGGTTGTCAGCGGAAGAGCGCGAATGGCGGAAGACGCAAGCTGTCATAGCTTTTGTGAACTTGTCGTTCGAACCAGTTCAACGCGATCTGACCTAGTTCGACTATTCGATCATTTTCCCGGTTCGGCGGATTCTAGGGTGCCGAACTTAGCTTACCCAGCCTCTCTGGACAAAATACCCACCTGCACAGAATTTAATAAATTTCTGGAGAAGCGATGCCAGAAACTTGAGAATGTGGAGCATGCGGCTGCATCTGATGGTAACCATTCGCAAGCTTCAAGGCCCAGGAGGTTCAGCAGTCATGGGAGAAACTCGTTCGTCGCCACTCGCATTCCAGCCGCGACCAGATCGTGCGTTATGTGCCAGAGTGCAAATCATGGCATTTATAATTGCGTTCAATTCGCCAGCCTTTCTCCTCAAGCTCGTCTGCGTGAAGCTAAACGGCTAGCCTTATGCCTAAACTGCCTCAAATTTAGACATCAAATGAGGAATTGTAGATCGGGCTCCTGTCGAACATGTGGATCTAAACACATAGCCTGCTACATTTTCCCTCACCGCCTGTAACATCGCCCTCACAATCAGCTGAGCCTATCGTGCTATCTTCATCAAATGGGTTTTAAAATGGATCGCCAAATTCTTCGCTTATTCGTCGTCATCACAATCTGCTGCTTTAGTCGCTCAGAATCTTGATACGGATTGTGTTTTGCTTGCCACTGCAGTTATTAGTGAGCAAAATCGGTCTGGTTCGTGGGTTCCTTGCCGTGCCTGCGCGACTCAGGATCTCTACTGCATATCATCACTTTTCGCCTCGCACACTCGCTTCAGTTGCTGAAGGTTAAATCCACGACCACTGTATCTGGACTTGGAGACTGTAAATTTTACTCGGATCGTTTCTCGGTAAATATTACTCTAAAGTCTCAAGCTTCAGACTTCGTCTCCAGCATTTCGGCTTTGATTGCGCCTGCCATTCTTTGAGTTGCTATGTGTTGGCCAAATTAAGTTGTTTGATGGGCACCCGCCGTTACAAAAAACCCGATTTTGATGGGTTGTCTGGATCTGAGTCTGAGTCTGGATCCCAACGTACCAAAGAGGAGCTTTATTGTGAGGCTCATTTCAACGCCAACTTTACTCGTCTGCCGTCAGGTGAATACTCGGTTCCCCTGCCAACTAAGCATAGGGTTGAAATCCTGGGAGATTCATATTAACAAGCTTATCGTAGTTTCGTCAACCTGGAGAACAAACTTGATCGTCATCCTCATCTCAAAGCCCAGTACTCGGCATTTATTCGTCGTTTCTATACCCTGGATCTGAGTCTGAGTCTGGATCCCAACGTACCAAAGAGGAGCTTTATTGTGAGGCTCATTTCAACGCCAACTTTACTCGTCTGCCGTCAGGTGAATACTCGGTTCCCCTGCCAACTAAGCATAGCGTTGAAATCCTGGGAGATTCATATTAACAAGCTTATCGTAGTTTCGTCAACCTGGAGAACAAACTTGATCGTCATCCTCATCTCAAAGCCCAGTACTCGGCATTTATTCGTCGTTTCTATGGAGGATGACCAAAGGATTGCTCATCTCCTGTGCGCTAAATCTCGTGTGGCGCCACTGAAGACTCTCACGGTCCCTAAGCTGGAGTTGTCTGCTGCCGTGTTGCTGGCTCAACTCATTCAAGAAGTACAAAAAATGGGGCTACTTTTGTTGTTTTGTCCTGGATTAGAGATAAGTCGTCACGTTTTCAAATATTTACTGCTAATCGAATCTCTTTAATTTAGTCGATTACTAACGGAATGGAATGGCGCTACGTCCCTACGAGCTGCAATTCACCAGATATCCTGTCAAGAGGGGATCTTTCCAGTGAACTTATAGCTTCTAGCCTATGGGCTCATGGACCTGACTATCTTCGACAGGACAAATCTCAATGGCCAGCATCCTGCCTTGCAGTGAAAACTCTTCCTGACCTTAAAAGATTGCCTTGGTTGGCATCTCGACAGCTGCTGATGTATCTAATAAGAAAAATTAAAGCATGTCCTCGGCTACATCTTCAAATTTCGCCATCGTATCAGGCAACCTGGTCTCACTTCGTAACATGTTCGCTGTGGTACCCAAGTGCTCATCCGCTCCATTCAGATGGTTCATCTTGGTGACGAGTACCAGTGCAGGCTTCGGCCAATAAAGGCCTCAAGCTCAATCGCATCGCTCTCGCCCATTATCGACGAACTTGGACTTTTACGTGTTGGCGGCCGATTAAAAAACTCTGCGCTGGACTATGAGGCACGCCATTCATTGATACTGCCTCGTGAGTATCCTGTATTTTCATCGGCGCTACCTATGCTCTGACCTCGCTACCTGCTCGCTTCAATCCGGCAGCAGTTTTGGCCAATTGGTAGCCGCAAAACAGTTGGATTTTTGCAGGCCTTTCTATCACAAATCTTATGTCCGGAATAAGGCACCCTTCAAGTGCTACATCTGCATTTTTATCTGCTTTTCCACAAAGGCTGTGCACCTTGAGCTTTATACTTATCGGTGGCAAGCCTGCCCGCAAATGGTCTGACAATGCGACAAATTTTGTTGGCGCTAAGAACGAGTTGGCTGAGCTAAAACGATTCTTTCTGAATACCACCCACCAAACTGCAATAGATGAATTCTTCTTGACTGACAGCATCGAATGGCGATTTATTCCTCCTCGCGCTCCCCACTTTGGAGGTCTTTGGGAGGTGGCCGTGAATACTGCGAAGACTCACTTCTATCGATCTGTTGGACCTGCAATACTGCCCGCTGATTTCCTGCGCACTCTCGTTTGCCATATCGCGGCAATTATTAACTCTCGTCCTTTAGTTTCACTTTCAGAACACCCTGGCTCTCTGCATGTTTTGACACCGGCGCACTTCCTGGGTACTGCGCCTCTTGCCTTGTTTCCTGAACTGACTACACCAACTTGAACCTCAATCGGCAATCGGCTACATCAACAGCGCTCCAGGTGGCCCACACAGAAAAACTGATGTTCAACTCGGTGATCTCGTTCTAGTTAAGGACGAAACCTGCCCCTCTCTCAAGTGGCCACTAGCTCGAGTGCTCAACCTTGTCGATGGATCCGACAATGTGGCTCGAATAGCTGTGCTGAAGACCGCCACCGCCCTCATCAATCGAGCTGTGTGTGCTGCCGAAAGAATGTCTGGTTATGCAGCCCACACATGATGTCCCAGCTGCCCAACAACAAAAAATTTGAAAGTTGCTCTGCGTAGCAAAACCTTAACTCTCTTCCTGCCTTCTGCATAACATAAACTTAATCGCTCTTTCGCTCTATTCCGTTACTTTGCACAGCGGTTCTTCGCCGTCTACTAACTGCATCAAAACTTATTTTCTCAGTCTTCGCCTATGCCTGAAAGCGATCAGCCTAAATTATTTTTCGTAGCTCTTTCGGACCAATTCGGGTCATAAATACCCACAGCGGCAATTCGGCTCGCCTGTGCGGATAAACTGGCCAGGTTTAGTTCAGGTGGGAGTTCGTCCAAAGTCGTCTGCTTATCCTCGATGTACTAGGAAACCTTAGTTTTAATGGTGCGATTGTACCGCTCTGTCGGGTTCTGCTACGGAGTAAGGGGTGCTGTTTACTGGATCTTGATTCCTGATTGTTTGCAGAAAGCTTTGAAGGAACGACTCGTAAATTGTGTCCCATTGTCACAGAAACGTGGAGCGTGGGATCCCGAAGTGGTTGAAAATCTTCTCCCGAAAGAATTTCTCTAGATGCGCCGAAGTGACTTTTCTTAAGGGAACCAACTCATCCCATTTGGAAAAAGTGTCGAAAAATACGAGCAGCATTGTATTTCCGTTTTTAGACCGCGGGAGGGGTCCAATGGAATCGGCGCAGACAGTGTCAAAAGGCTCGCTAATATGCCTGGTAAACATCTAACCCACTGACTTGCTTTGTCTTATCTTAAACCGCTGGCAAGTGCCACATTTGCGAACATACCTGGCGATATCGTGAAAGAGTCGATTTCGGTTAGTGCGGCTGTGATTTCTGCTTCGCATTCCTGAAGTCGTTTGGGTATTTAAGGGGGGACATCTGAGTAACTTTTTTTAAAAAACGAAAATTTTTTTTTTGCTTAAAAAATACTTTAGGGTCTTAAAAATAACGTATCAAAAGATAGAGTCCGGCAAAAGTTTCTAAGTGTCGAAATTTTCCATTCTGCGGCGATGCCTCACATGTAATCATATACGATTTTAAAACTTTAAACGCGTTTATCTCAAAACCGCTTTTTTTGAGTTGGCCGGAAACCTAACTCGAACAAATCTTAACCGATCGATCTGAAATTTTGACAGTATATTCAAAATACCTATGGCTATCGACACACGTAGGATTTATTTTTTTTTGCTTACTTTTTTTTATCAACAATTTTGTGACGTTTTTTTCTCATAAAAATTGAAAATTTTATTTAATCACTCACCATTTTGCTAAAAATCAAAATATCGAAAATATCCTACGT